ATGTCACACAATTTCAATTTTATGTGTAACCTAGAAATGATGAACTTATGGGAACAGAGACAGAATTGTGGTTATTAGGCTTCAATGTGGGTCTTTTAACAATGGGGAAATGATTGGTTTAAGGATATAAAACTGCAGTTGGACAAGAGGCATGGACTCTGTGCAGTCTTGAGGCCTCCTGAGAGCATGATAAATATGGTTGATAACAATATGCTATATTTTAAAAGTTGTGAGATAGTATACTTTAAGTGTTCTCAAAACAAAAATGATGAATATGTGTCATATAACATGTTAATTGGTTTAATTTAGCCATGCCATTGTGAACATACTGTATTGTGTATCATAATTGTGCATGACTTTATTTATGAGCTAAATAAATGAATGAAAACAAAGGAAGTTTCCAGATAGACATAGGTGGGGGTATGGTTTAGACTTAGAAATGAGATGGGAGTGCTAAGAACACAAGGTTGTATATAACTATAGCCCCAATTAAGTAAATCTATTATCTTGTTTGTTTGCCCAAGGCAGTTACTATGCATATCTGGGTAACCTAGAATTTGCTATTTAGACTAGGCTGACCTTGAACACACAGCCTCCTGTCTCTGCCTCCCGAATGCTCAGATAATGGTTTGATCCATGATGTCTGACACTCTTTGTTGTCTTTGCAAGATGTCTTCAGGAAACAAACATTGATTCTATGGGCAATTTTGGCTGTATCAGTGATGATGACAAACTAGACTGAGACAATGGGCTTTTTTTCCCCATGTTTTCATTCCTATACTTCAGTAACTTTTCTTACCTTTCTATCCTGGCTTGCTGCAGCCAAAAAAAAAAATAAGTGACACACTGGAAGACAAATGTCACACAATTTCAATTTTATGTGTAACCTAGAAATGATGAACTTATGGGAACAGAGACAGAATTGTGGTTAAAATGGTGTTATGAGCAAAATATTCATATGCATAAAGTGCTTAAAATTAGGTCTAGGCATATTAATTGGCTACCACATGGTCACTAGCAGGACATAGCCACATTGGGTTATCAAACTTCAAAGACAAAAGAGAAATAAAAGTAATTCAGGTATCATGATAGAAAAGTAATCCACATGGAGAGTTTTGTGCTCTTCCCAAGACTAGCTCATTCTCAAAGCCAACAGAACCCCCTACAGCATCATAAGGGACATCATGTGTAACTAAGAACAATCCACCTGCCCAGTTGAGTGTTACAAGTATAGAGCCAACATGCTGCCCTACTCAAGTATGAAAGGACATAGAGGAAAATAAACTGTGAATCCCCTTACTAAAGAAATAAAGAAAAAAATTTAAAATTCATGACAGTAAGATCCCACCGACAAAGTGCTAAATTAAAACATAAACTCAGTAATGAAAAAGTCATGGTAAAGTAATAGCACTGTGAAACGCATTCATTTAAACAGGGAACTTATAATGATCAACAGAGGGAATTATGTCTTGAGAATCAAATGCAATGCTACAGTGCTGACAAAGAAAACAATTTAGACACTAGACCATGGCATACAGAGAAGCCAAGAAAGGGAAAAGAAGGGTTCTCCTCACCTCAGCTTGCCTCTCCCACTTCATTTACTCAGGTTGAAACATGTAATTAATACTGTCTGACTACCGTCTTTTAAACAGTATTTTTATTTTATTATTATTATTATTATTATTATTATTATTATTATTATTGGTTTTCGAGACAGGGTTTCTCTGTGTGGCTTTGGAGCCTAACCTGGCACTCACTCTGGAGACCAGGCTGGCCTTGAACTCACAGAGATCTGCCTGCCTCTGCCTCCAGAGTGCTGGGATTAAAGGCGTGCACCACCAACACCCGGCCAGTATTTTATTTTTTTATTCTTTTATTTAGTGTGTGTGTGTGTGTGTGTGTGTGTGTGTGTGTGTGTGTGTGTTATGTGCTCATCTGTGCAGGTCCCTGCAGAAGCCAGTAGAGGGTGTTGGATCTCTTGCAGCTGGAGTTACAGGCAGTTGAGAGCCACTCAACATGGATGCTAGGAATACAACTCCAGTCTTCTACAAGTACAGCAAGTGCATATATAGACACCCCTAAGCCATCTGTCCAGCCCCATGACTAGAATCATGCAGAAGTCTTTATCCCATTAATGCCTTGATACAGAATTGCTTTCTCTTATTGATGAACAAGCATTGGTAATCCCTTAAATTTCATTTCAGTCTCTTTTTCTCCTAAAATTTAAATGAATCTAAATAAATTTTAACTTAAAATTCAGAGTTTTTGCAGGCTTTGTATGATTGCATTGTTTCCATGTTTTTAACATACCCACCCCACCATCTGCTCATTAGCTTTGTTTAATTCCAAAGAAGTTCTGCAGAATGACTAGCCTATATTATATAAAGAGATAAAATGTAGGATGATTCTTTTGCTTCCTGTTTTGTATTTAATTATGTCTTGTTTTTTACAATGTATGAGGTTCATGAATGCCCACAAAAACTCTTTATTCTTACACTCATACCTTCACTTTTGGTTATATCCTGTTTCCTAACCTTCTTCTTAGGTATGTGTAAAGAGCTGATGCAGTGGTCTTCATCAGAAGGTGAGCTGTAGTAATGTTCGTTTGTTCTCTCAACTCCGTGGGGCCCTTCACGCGTTTCTTTCTCTTTCCTACCTGCTGACCAGAACCAATGAAGAAACCTTATATTGTGGATTGCTGATGTGTTGGGTCACCTTATGAATGGATATGTAGAACAGAGCTACCTCGTGGCTGACCACATGGAAGGAAAGGGTGGGGTTCTCGGTGAATTTAGTTCACCATGGAGTTATCTTAGTTATGGTTTCTGTTACTGTGATCAAACCACCATGACCAAAGAAGCTTATAAAAAGAAGCATTTCACTGGGCTCATGCTTTCTGAGATCAGAGTCC